GTAAACTAACTTGGCTTCTCTTCTTTCTGATGTTGAACAGTTAGGGGCGCAGATAGAACGCTGGCGTCTCTAATTTGAGTCACATACCAAATTTCATCGCCTTGCCCTTCTATGACATTTACTTTTTTGGGAGTATATCGCCTTTTTGAAACTTAATAAGAAACTCTAAATATTTTCTAACACCCACAGCCTTCTAGCAGAAAAGTCTGATTTTTTTTTTAGCAAAAGCAACTTTCTAGCTTGACTTCTTACTTTTTAAAATTTGCGCACAAATCTCACAATAAGAAAACGACGATTCCTGTATCCCACGGAGTCAGAAGAGTCTAACTGCAAAAAATCTCGTGACATGTACACGTCGTTTAGGTAAATTAGGTGAAATTACTATTTATTTAGAAAAGCACAAGGAGCCAGGGTTATGAATCGGTTCAAAGAGGATTGCACAGCTAAGGTGAGCTTACGAATATTAGAAAATATATGTCGGATCATGGTCCGGCAGAAAGTTTCAAAATACAACCAAAAAGCTAATCAAAACGGAGCTAAATATTCCCTACTGCCACATATCTACTTGTCACGAGTGTGAAGCATTGATATTCACGTGTACTAGACGAAAAAATCCCAACGTTAGCTTCACAAGTTTTCGTTTACTTTGCACCTGTTATTTTATTTTTATGTACTCCATTGCCAACTGAGATGTTTTGCTTTTGCTTTCAAGCGTTCGTGTTCTCCTCAATGTATTTCCCCACTTCCTGGAAAAACTGGCATCTTCAGTATGTGATGAGAAACTCGTCCATTTTTCATTTACGGGGAGGCCAGTTTTTGTAATTCGATTCTGAAACGTATTTGATAAGAAGTTCTGTCTTACAAGCGAGTGGGATAAAAAGTGTTTGTATTCAAACAGCAGTCGAACATACGCGTAAAAACATGAAAACCTTTGTGGATGACGAGTGAAAAAGTCAGATAAAATACGTGCTGAATTCTGCACGGCACGTGATGTCAAGTTATTTATATCAGAATTAGATATTTCATGAGAGCATTGTGCAAAATCGTATCATTGAATATTTCTTGCGAATCCTCTGTGGACTTTCCCATAGAAGTGGAGCAGAGTCATCTTAGTGTCATCCTCTTACTAGCCGTCTCTGTGCTACACATGCTCTAAATTAGGCAAAGCACCAGCCACGTTGCGCAGTGATGCAACAATATTGGTTTCAAAAGATTTTTTTCAAATGCTTAGTGGAGCACTAAAACGCTTTCGAATGGAAAAAGTAGAACCGAGAAATCCTGCTCAGTCAAAGAAACAATCACATGGAAATTGAATCAAAAACATTTCATGTCGTCTATTCTCTTGTTGCATATGAATTGAAATCAGCACACATTGTTACGAGTATTTTAAGTTGTTATTATAACTTCATAACGACGTAAAATAAATGGTGAATCTTCCACCTTATTTCGTTAACAAGAGAAAAAAAAGTTCAGGGAACATAAGCTCATTCAATTTGCATTTACAAGTGATGTACGAAAAAATTTCTTTCAGTAGTTAGCTCCTGAAAATGAATTATGCTCCATCTCATAGATTTTCTAAAGTCTTTCATGACGGAAAAACTCAATGGAAGGTGTTTTATTCAAGGGCATCAATCCTCCAGCAGTATTAGTTGATCTAGATCCCAACACTGGCGCGCCAGCATTTGCAAGCGCCAATAAGGAGGATTTTCACGAATACATTGAGCATGTGAGATTTTCAAAAGTACTTTCAATCATTTGTAATTCCTGTATTCATGTGTAATTTAGCTTAGATGCGGAGCAATTTCAATAAGCACTCTATGGTGATAATAACGAATTTCCAAAAACGTCTGCATATCTTTTGCATAATCTATCGCAAATAGAAGTGCTGGATAGGAGCAAAACTTTCAGTGGTGAGGTGAAAATAGTGGGCTCTCGGAAGGAGTGATCGCCGGTTTGAAGCCAATTCAGTTTTCAAGTTTTGCTAATATCACGGCACTCTTGTAGCTAGATTTCACATTGTACCCCATCTTCAAAAATGATTTAGGAAGGAAATAAAGCTGAAAATTGTGTTATCATAGAGAATTTGAGGCTATGGAAAAACGTGCCGAGGAGGAACGAAAGGAAATCACAAAACTCAATAATTTACTCAAACAAAGCAAGGTGAGAAGTTTCAAATAAGAACTGAGGTTGTCCTATGTTTTCTCTTTATGACTCTTATTTATTTTTTGGTAAGCACTTTTTAGTCCCTATTGATTCAAATATTTGAAAACTTCATTTAATCCAAAAAATGTTCGTCCACTTCTTCATCCAAATCCTTGTTGGTCATCGAGTAATATGCTAGGCCCCACTTAAATCTATTCGTCTATCACATCCCGGTAATAGATTTTGCTGATGGACTCTGCTCATCCGACAATCACGAAGAGTTATATTTTTACTCATCAATACTAACGAACGGATGACGATGTTATTGCTCATCTTTCGACTGCTCGTGAGAACTTGTCAGTCGACAAGCCTGAGTTTTAATCTTCGCTTACGTGAGGAAGTCTCTGATCTCCCATGGTTGATGTAGGTCTGGAATTTCGGTTTCTGCATCACCCGTGAGAGGCCGGTTTATTTTCTACCTCTGCTTTTGATTTCGGTCTAACACTATCTCCGAATCACCTAGTAGGAAGCCCGGCCGAGGATCCGTCACCGAAACCAATCATTGGAAACGACATCACGAAGACCTGAAGAAGCCTTTCCAAGGTTACATCAGGATACCAAGGATTATCATAAGCACAACCAGCAATATAACATCTGGAATATGTGCTGGAGTCCGTACAACTAGTGAAGATCGACCATCTAAGTCTAAGTAAGTAAGATGTGGGTCTAAAGTTTGAAGTCCCGCTCTTAAAATGTGAGACAGAGTACTCCTATGTCGCATTGTAAATAAATCGATCCATTTCTTTGAACCTTGTAGAAGACTGCTTTTCTCACAGTTCTGCTTTTCTGCCCGAAGTAGTCAAATATTGCATAAGTGATTCTAGAGTGGACGATATTGAAAATGCAGTCATGCCTATGGTTACCGATTTAGTTTATGTCCTCATGAGACAACTTTATCTTCCATAAGAGCGTAGCATTCAAACAATTTGTTGAAGCACAGCCAACGTGTTGATGAATCCTATAAGGGAGAAATCCACATAGAAACAAGTAAATACAGTCACACACAATATGGGAAGAGATTATCATGTTCCGAAACTATGATCATCAAAACCAAAATAAAGGGTTTATTCATAAAATCTTACGAAAGTTCCATTATCACATCGACATTCTTTATACAGAGTTATCTGTAATCCGTCGTTTATTCCTTTTTTGTAGTATCTATAGTATTTAGATAAAACAGAAGACATGCAGTGTTTTTCCAGATTATATCTTTTTATCTAATGAAAGACATTTAAGGATCAGTGTGGCGCAATTGTTAAAAGTGTTCGGCAACATACACTTGACGTTGATTAAATTCCGCGATCCAAATTCACCAAGTCTTCCATCCCATTCAAGTCATTAACCTAGTACTTCAAACACTTCTAAGATGATATCAGCACTGACTCGATACATCAACAGGGTCACTACTGAGGCCAAATTTGCTTTAGTTACTTCTAAGGACTCCTAAATAAGTCGAATGGTGGTGCGCCCCTCGAAGCTAGATTAGCGCTAAAAGAATTATACTCTCATTTCTTTTACATGACATCCTTGCGACATGAATTTGCATTAGCCGCTTCCATGTATCAAGTCAGTGTAGCTTATCCTCCCAGACAAGTTTGCATACCAATTTTCTGACCCTTAGGGTCGTAGATGGCATTGTGAGCTATGTGAGCCAGATCAAACCCTTAACCTTGCATGCGACGCAGAGCACCTCTAACCACTGCGTCGGCTGTGCTCCTGTAACACATATACATCCAATATTGCAGAGTGGTATGCAAAATTCTAAACCTCTAATAGGGATCGCACCCGCATTTCATTCTTCAACGTGCTAATCACTGCATTACCGAGGCTCCTCTTCTGCTATCAATCTTCCTGCGAGGCAGCGTATCGATCTGTCAGTAACGAACCGTCAACGGTTTAGCGTGATAAGCATATTTTGGCATTGAACCAATTCTGTGAACTCGTCTGAGATTCTAAGTTTTGCATATCACCCAACATTTTCGGAAGCAACTGCATCATTAAGTAATGTTTCACTCTTTCCGGGAGCGTATGCTAACCATTGCACCACCGACGCAGGTGCAACGGTTAGCATACGCTCCCGGAAAGAGTGAGATCTAAGTTCGAATCCCGGCTGACGCGAATGTTTCTGCACAGCACTCTACATTATTGGATATATTTTGAGACCATACCACCGCAAGAGGCGGTCAAATAAATGAAATCTGATTAATTAATGATTTATAGCAGATGAAGAACTTATTTGAAACAAATCTGTTCCAGGCGAATGAACCTGTTGAGTATCGAGACACATCACAAATCAAAGTTGCCAAACCGATGAACACTCACAATTCCTATTGTCAGGCAAGATTTCATATTCTGTAGTTCATCTGTTCTTCCTTTCCATTAAATGAGCCACAACCTTCCACATTACTTTTACAATGAGTTTTTTGCGAACGAAGTCTTCTGATTTAGACCGAAACTCATTGGCCGGAACTGAAAACCATTTCGTCTGCAGTACAAGTGAACACGTGTATGACTGATCAGGAGATTCAGACGACAATGACTCAGAGTGCAGAAATTGATATACAAACTGTAAGAGTTCGAGATTTGAACTGGTTCTGTCGTGGAACAAAGCCACTGTTCTCCTGGACATGTGTGTTGTTAACCATTTTGAATGCTGAATGGCTTTTTTGTAGCGCGTCTTTCATATATTTGCCTCAACTGTTTCCAAAGTGCTGTAGTTTCCTGCAGCGTTGTTTGGATCACAATATTCACACATTCACAACTGATTGATTTCACTGCATGCATAGTGGAAATTTTCTTGCGTCAGTTGGGATTTGAGCCCACATTTCACCCTATCCGGGGGCGCGTGCTGAACCACTGCACTACCGACTCCACACCACTATTTTCTACGCTACAACACGTTCGTCAACGCTCTGGCGTCGGTAGTCTCTACCGACATTGAGCCTACTTATGCTTCGATTGTCTATAGCGACTACATAACATCATACCAGCGCATAAAGCGGTCAAATAACAAGAACTCATCATCCATTAGGTGTAGTGTATCTAAATAAAGCGTGGCTGAGTGGTTGTGGTGCTCATCGCGGTGTGTGTGGAGACGAGCTCCACCCCTCAACTCTTTCCGGCAGTCGACAACGAACGCCCTATGGAACGGCACAGCTAGGCTATCCTCGAGATTGGAGGAAGACGTGCTCTACTACTATTCTACGACGTTCAAGAAGAATATGAACAAACGAACTAGATGCTAGAAGTACTGAGATCCGCGCAGCAAGGAAAAAAAATAGAAAAAACATTGTGAAGACGGATCAATAAAGTGTGCGTCAAAGTGCAGAAAGAATCGCTAGGCAAACCCTTTTGATTAACTACTGGCTTTGCAAAAGCTTCATTACTATAGAATGTGATGTGAAGGTTAAACAGGTGCCTAACTATCTTAAGTCCGCTGCAGAAGTTCTTATGGCTGGTAGTTAATCACAGAAACTCATACACTCTATTTGCAGCCATCGATCTGCTGTCAAGATGCTTCCAACCAGCGTGACGTCCTAAAAATCGAGTGCGCTGCAGAAGTTCTTTTTTATCCTTAGATTTTTTCATAAAACGAGACACAAAGCAATAGAAGGACACTTTTCAACATTTTTGAGGAGTAAACTTCCCTCTTTAAAGAGTAGCTCGTATTGAAGGGTCCTAACGAGTACTGAATTAGTCAGGACAAAATTTTCATTGGTTGAGAGAGCAGAAAAGCAATGATTTGCTCTCATGAATCGTAAACATCATATTTGGTCAAGATCACCGCATTTGAAGTTATAAGCTAAAACTTAAAGTGAATTCAATAACTATGGGATTCTGAGACCGTATTAAGACCTCTTGAGCTTTGGAAGCTCTTTTCTCACTTTGTGAAACAAAGATAAAGCGATAATGCCAAGAGGCGGTACGCAGTGTCGAAACAGGTTGCAGATTATCAAATGAGCTGATTTCAGTGAGGATGATCAGTAACTTTCTGATTGATTATTCGTCAAAGAGTTAGAACTTATTCGTAGTAAAAAGAAACAACGAAAAATTTTGCATTTTAGAGAAATTTTTTCTTTGTAAAATCATCATTATTGAAGTAGCTGCGCTTACACTTACGAGGGATATTATCCATAATGTTTCAGAGTGCAGTCAAGAGGCGCTCAACCAGATGTTTCACTTGTGCATTTTATTGGGGATGCCGAAACAGACGTTTTTACCAATAATAAAATCACAACACGAGTCGATAACATCGTTGATGTTGATATAAGAAAGGAAGTTGAATTAATTAATAAAAGAGAACTTGTTCAACAAATTCGTTCTATGAAAAGCACGGGTGAACAGGTGAGTTTTTAATATATCAAATTATGATTAGAATAGACAGAACCTGTTTTGAGTGCGTCATAACAAAAAAGGTTTCATTCCGACTAGAGAAAAACTCAACATATACCTGTACCATATCTTATTTTTGTTTTCATATTTATTCAGACAGATCAAATTGAGGAATTGAAGGAGATTGCGACATTCGAGGTGAGTTGTGCAGAAACTCAGAGCTAACTTTGTCTGACAGTTTTTCCACTTTCTTCTGATCGGTGCCCAGTATTGGTGTTCTTAACATTCTCATCATCAGCATTTTCAAACCTTTTTTCAAAGCTAATAAGATGTCCAAGTCGATTCAATGAATAAATGAATAATTAAATACTTTGAAACATCTTCTGGTATGCTTACATAGGTAGCAACACAAGCGGATGCAGTAACAACACGAACGCGGCATAGCCAAACTAGGCTAACATGGTAATTCATTGGACTGGAGATTTCGTAGTGATTTGATATCAAATGCATGTGGGTAATTATTTCAGCGCAGACATTCGAGAGTTCACTGCCTTCAAAAAAGTGAGGCGGAAGCTGAGATCCGGGGCTTTGTTTAACCAAATACATTCTGTATGCTCGTCCGTTCAATCGTCTACATCCGATGGTGAAACTTTTTCTCCTACCTCTTCTACTCTTCAGTGTGTGACATTATTAGCTATTTCTATAAATATTTAGACTCTAAAGTACTAAGTCTTGAATATTGCTAACAAATTTCAAATTATTTTGACAATGCTATTGCTGAGGAAAAAAACATTGCTGACGTTTCCCGAATATTTTGAGCCTAGGTTTCTTAGCGCCACTTATAAAAAAGCCTTGAGAATTGCGTTTGTAGGATTTTCATCACTTTAAACTTTTCATTTTTTGGAAGCTTCATACTAGGCTATGTACTTTTGATTTACATGCTCCAAATTTTGAGCTCTTCTAGGTGATCCCCACCATTTGGCGCAGTGTGCTATGATCCCTAACGATATAACCGAAGCTGTAGACGATCCAGAATGCATTTCAGAGGTAACTGCTAAATATTATGTACATCTATATGTATATGTAATTGCATATATGTAGGGTCGGATGTTTCCACTATTCTTGACGGCCAGTACTGATAAAAATCCCTGTAGGAATTTTTCACTTATGCGAAATTTCTATGTGTTAAGGTTAACGTCACTTTGACTATCGTAAGTAAGCCCGTGGATGAGCATGGAGTTGTGATTCATGATATGGACGAAGAAAATCAAGAAAAAATGGGAGAAGATGACGTGTTTCTGAGTCAAAATTACCTAGATGATGTGGAACAATTCCTCGTGGAAGAAAGCACACAGACGTTATCATTCAGAGAAAACAGCGAGTTTGATGTTCGGAGATATTTGTTTCAGTTTTTTCTCCAATTTTTCCAAGATTTCGCATAATCTGATTTTGCCTTTTTCTAATATCGCTACGAAATGTTCATCACTGTGTTATGTTATGAAAGTGTCTTCCCAAATGTCAACAATGTCTTACATAGTATCCTCCAGGAACAAAATAAGACCCTCTGGCCTACAGTGGAACTAGGAACACTTACAACCAGTACGGATCCTCAAACGGCATATTTATATCTCATTAGCCAGGTGAGAAATCATAATTGCTCTCAGGTACACGAGACAACGGAGTACATACGGAAATGGTGCTTATTCAGACAGAAATGAAGCGACTCACTATTTTAGGAATATTCGGTTGAAATAGACAAAACTGAAGTGGACATTTATGGGAAAAGTCGTCGAAAACATATGGATGCTCAATCTTTGCGCGAGAAGGAAGCACAGACTGATGAATTGACAATGTTCGCTAAGGATGTTCAGGCACATTATTTTCAAACTTCTGGCATAAAATCCACTTCATTTTAATTTATCACATCCATGAAACTTATCAAGAAACACGTTTCGAAGACGATCTTCAAGCGCTAACCAACTTTACGTGTTTGAGCACGATTTTCATAGTTTAATTAGGGTTTTTTTCTGTTTGTGAATAAACTCTGGGTTTTCTGAGATATTTTGATACTTTAGAATTTTCTTCAAACCCGCACTTTTCTTTGATTCTTACACCGCTCTATGAAGATTTCTCTAGAAGTCAAGACCTAGTTTTGAGATTCACAAGACTTAAAGCTATCAAATGAATACTAAAAGCCAGTCTAGCGAAAATCCAAGCTTAGGCGCCGCCTTGCATAAAAATGTTCGCCGAAAATGAAACGTAATTTTTCTTTGTTGCTACAGCGCATCAAAGGGTCTTTTTGGATGCCAAGCATACTCCTAGAATTATCGCTTTCGGAGCTGTCGACTGATTGCTAAAAGTGCTCTCAAAAGCTATTCTCAACGAAAAGCGCGCTCAAATAACCGTGCTTGAAAAATTCACGTGCGGTCCCCAAAGGGTTAGCACGTTAACGAAGAGGTGAACCCCACATAACATACTATCCTTTGATGGCTTATTGTCGTGGACAAGAGTGATATCAAAAACAGCAAAGCAGCGAAACAACGCTCTGAAATTTACTGAATTCGGCACTTGGAGGGTCTTCGATATGACAGGATGACAGTCGAAATTCCTAGTATTTTTTCTGCATTTTTCGCAGTATTGTGATGTTTCGTATATACCTAGGACAATTAAGTAGTGAGCAAAAACACAGACTCAGACGGGAATCGAACCGGCGTTTTATCCATACCGGGGACGCGTGCTACTGCCTCTACACCATCGAGGCACATTTGCATACAAAACATCATAACACTGCGAAAAATGAGTAAAAATACTAGGCATTTCGAGTATTACTTATTACCATGGCTGTTAGCTCAACTGAGTTTATAAAGCGAAATCGCATACCTGATCAAACCTGTTAAAGGTTGGTGGCTGATAGCTAATATAGAAATGTTCAAGAATGAGTGGTGGCTCAAATGTGTCTTAGTGATGTAGTGGTAGTAGCATGCGTTCGCAGCATGGATGAAACGCGGGTTTCATTGCCGCCTGAGGCCGTATTTTTGCTCTCCACTCAGTTCTCTTAGATATATAGAAGATGATAGGTCAGTTCATAAGCATGTTTACAATTGTTTCGTTGTCTAGTGCGCATTAATATGGATTTCAAGAGATCGTTTTATTTTTCCTGTTGTAAATTTTGTTGCAAATAATCATGTGGCAAATTATCGAGAAAATTGCTTTTCTGAGGCGATTGGGTCATAAGTTTACAATTCACAGGCATTTCATAAGGATGAATACAGAAAATTTAAAAAAAAAAATCTTCTGTGGTTAAAAATCATCGACTTCAAAAAGTGGTGCAACGTATACAGCGCACTTTTTTAAGAGTACAAAATTGCACTACTGCCACCAGATATGATCTTCTTCATCCAGTTTGGCATTGCAGCTTGCGTGTACTGTAGTGTTTACATCTATAAGCATGTAAATATTAAGTTTGCTAACGAAAATATATGGTACTGTTCTATTATGGCAGCGCCACTTGTTGCTTTCGGTAAAAGCGTATTATTTGC